CTCTCTCTCTCTCTCTCTCTCTCTCTCTCTCTCTCTCTCTCTCTCTCTCTCTCTCTCTCTCTCTTCCAGACACTCGTGTTCGCTACAGTAGCATGCGGTGGCATCTGACGTCATCGTGCAGTTAAACACCTACTATACGATTTAAACTTTAGACCTTGAGTTCGTGATATCATTCCACGCCGATGATTCTCAACCGACGTTATAACCAAAGACATTATTTGTATTTACCGCCAAAAATCGTGCATAAATTCTTTAAAACCGCGTAATTTTTATTAAATTATATACATTGAATTAACAAATTAATTATCGCTTTGCAAGTATTTAATAATCTCCGCGATAAGCGGAATCCATTTTTTCGACTCGCTTAATTCAATGATTCGACGATAACAAGAATTAGATAAATTAAATGGTCATGGTGATGGTTTGACCCAGTATTCATTGTATATTTTTTTTTAAATGAAAGTTCAATTGCTATTTTTTTTTTTTTTAATTGAAATCAACATCGTCAATGTCAACTTGCTCGTTACGAGATATAAACTACGATAAATCATATAAACTACGTGATATATATATATATATGTAAATGTACATGAAGTACGAATGTGTACATACAAACGAATTAATTATACGTTAGGAAGAAAAACATACTTGATAAAATTCTAACCTAATTTCATAAATGTACATCTTTTCACCGATAGGATCGATCATTTTACGAGAAAGGGGCAGATAGTCGATAGATACACAGGCGCCGTTGCGTCTATAACCTTACGAGGTCGAACTCTTGTTTCAAACGAGAACGGTCAATGATATCGAAGAGTGTACATTTCCAGAAAATGGAACCGTAAATAGGCGTGTAGCTTTGCCAAGAAAACGTAAAGAATGTTAAAAATCATTTCAATATTAATTGGCAAAATTGGATACAAATCGGTCAATACGGGATCAAATATAACGATAATTAACTCGGTATATAGTGTCGATTCGTCACGAAGCGTAAATTATCGACTGCCGCTCAGATCGAGATTACCTCATGTTTTCCATTTTGGAACAGTACGCCCATTTCTGTTCAGCCGTGTATTTTTAACTCCTTACGCTCGCCGGAATTTATGCAACGATATATGCGATCGGTTGTGCACGACGAACGAGTATGTGAAATGTTGAGCATGATCGTCGAAAGAGTTTGTATGACGCGGCGCAAACTCCCACACGCGCTGCTTCAATTTGTATTCATAATTGGAAGGTATTTGGTTCATGAAAATCGGCTTTGTTCGTCTCCTCGATTTGCACGAATTTCCCATTCAAATTTTCTGAGCGTCATAAATTAAAAGAATGAAGAATAAATGTCGAGTGAAATTGTTCAACCCGTAAAAGGAGTGAAATAAACGCTTGAAACGCAATTTCTCAACGTGAATCCGGTGGATTCGTATTAAATATCCTGGTCACGCATGACCGAGTGGCATCGAGCTTCGAAGTAACGTTTAAATTATATACAGTTAGAGAAGTATATATAAAAAAAAAAAAAAATATCGGTCGAAATGGCGAACGAAGTGATATATAAAAAAAAAAATGTATTATTCAAACATTAGCTTTCAATGTAAATATATACATTTTATAATGTAATATTTTTACAAGTACAGAATAGAAGCATTAGAAAAAAAAAAAAAAAGAGACGAGATGGCAAGTCAAGAAAGATAACATTATTATCTAAGTAAATTAAAGATTTGATTATATTTCAATTGCCGATAACGAGTTGAAAACGTTATATTTTGCAATGTTCGATTTTTCTAACAGATTTGTATTCGCATTGATTTTATAAATAAGCTTTGTATTTGAAACTATTCTTCAAAGAACACAAAGAGCGATTCTTCAATGACTGTTCAAAAAGTTACATTTTACTGTTGGCTATAGAATAGATATTGATGCGCCGAAAGAAAGAAGCTAGTTCATGAGTAAGATGAACGTTAAGAGCAAAATAGTAGGTTAACGCGAAAACGTTCCTGCTCGAGTGGAGATACCGGTTTAACAAAAGGAAAATCCAAAGATTCGAAAGAAAGGGTCCATAGTGTGTCAAGATGGCTCGTCGCCATGGTAACTAGCCAGAGAGTACTCGGTCTCTTTTGCATTTTCTCCCTTCGTAACCATGTTTCTCCACTTTCCCCCTTTTATTACATTAGTTCATACGGTTTATGAGCTTCTCAGGGAGAATCGATTATTCGATACGCACGATCATCGTTGGTGCGTAAAACTCGAGACGCACGCGACTAATAACTTTTATCGTTGCGCTTAAAATAGTTAGAAATGAAGGGACGATGGGACGAAGAAAATCGCCGATACGAACAATTAATGAAAATCATTGCTCCAAATAGCTATACGTAATTAAGCGAATGAATGACTACATTCATATTGTGTTTATTATAATAAATACTAAAGAAAAAGAAATACCTGACAGATGAGAATCCGTCAGCTTCCCGTGGCCGTGGCTCGGGAACAATGACGAGAAGTTCCTGTAAATACTCCTGGCATGCAAGTTCTTTTCTCTGAACTTTGATCAAGTTCAACCGGTATCACACGACAACGCTAAACACTCGCGAAAATGTGCACAAGGCTGTCGACCGATGCCCAGGCCCGACACGAACTAAACTTCGACTCGCCGGGAAACGAAGCTCATACGCGTCGCGAAATCGATTGTAAATCCTCGGCACCACGCCTGCGTTTATGGAGTTTCCTTGCTCCACCTTGTCCGGCTTTGCACTGTTGAATGGCGCTACCCGACATCGTGTGAGAAATTGCGATAGTGGTGTGCTCTCTCGGCGCTTTTACGAAACATTTCGTTCGACGCAAACTCGGAATTTTTATTAATTCGAACGCAATGAAAATCGCGAATTAAATTTTTTTCCCTTCAGATTTAATCTCTCAGGACATTTTCAATGTTATGAAAATATTTAAATATCTATTTTCAATATTAAAACATAGAATCATTCCTTTATTACATTTAACATTCATTAAATATTATATACAATATTAAATTCATTATTATTTTATCTATATAATTATTCGAGTAAATTCATACAGCATAACGGGATATATCAGCGTTATATATATTTAAAAATTCATGCTTCTTCATGTGCAAATTCTAAGGATGACATCATATGTCCTGAGGCAATTGAAGAATATTTTAAAACCTCAAAAATGATGTCAATATCATTACCTTGTACATTGAGGTACTATTTTTTATTTAAAGAATTACTCATTCTACAAATAAGTTAAAAAATTTATTGCTACGATTTGCAATCAACTAATCAAAATTCATGTATTACAACGGAGAATAATTTAAAAAAATATAAAAATTCTATGCGAACTCCTATTTATTCATTTTGAAATGAAATCTAATAGAAATAGTAGTGATATTATCGAAAACCGGCATTAAATATTCCGTGCATGTAGTTCGTCGTTTAACCGGACCAAACACGATAATGATCGTACTGGACGATAAGTAGAAGTCTATTAGGAAGACTGCGCGTGGGCGAAGGTGTCTAAATTACCAAACCACAAGTCTAATATAATGTTTGACCCACGGATAAGTGCATCTTGGAGAAAAAAATTTGAGAAATACTGAGTATTTTTAACGACCATTAAAAACTTTTAAAATAGAAAATATACGTTTAAGATAGTATCGTGACTGATTCAGTATGTGAGCAATAATTTTAAGTCTTTGAACACTTATTATAGAAAACACTTATGAATATACATACGTATCTTATACATATATTACTTTTTTATCTTAAACATTACTTTTACATTACATAATTGTCATTCGAATGAAAAAAATTTTAAAATATCACTAATAAATAGATACGATTATCAAAATTTTGTAAATAAAATTTAAAGTTGAAACAAATTCTAAAATATATAATAGAGTTTTAAAATATTTATTACAAATATATATTTCGTGGATGAAAAATAATTTAATAAAATATTGAAAATAATTGAATAGAAATTATTACTAAAGAAGATTATTACTGAAAAGAAATTGTATGTTAATAAGATTTACACTTAAAATATTCTTAAAAATCTTTACAAAAATTAAATTAATTATTCTGTAATGGCTTAAAATCTACTGAACAATAAATCAAAAGAAAAAAATAAATAAAATAAAAATTAAGCGTTCAAATATTTTTATGGCTCCCGCAAAATATATTTACAATAAATATTTCATAACTGTTCAAATTTTATTTCAAAATTTTTCCATTTTTTAATCCTAGTAGTTTTATTTATATATAAACTAATATTACAACATATATGTATAAGTATTTATATGAATATAAAAGAATTTAAAAAAATATTTATACATTATTAATATTCTTATTTTTTATTTTTCTTTTTTTATATTTATTATGAAAAAGTAATTTATAAAAAAGTATTTATCTTGCTTACTCGGTATCAGGTACAGATGTAATCATGGAGGGTATGCGTCCGTTGTGATCCATAAAACGATTGATTTCCGGCTCTTCTTGAACAGGTGTCTCATACACCAAAGTTTCTACCATCGATCCTTTGCTCGAGCCAAAGGATACTCTAAAAGAAAAGAAAAGATGCTATATTTACACTTTTTTTTTTTTTCAAAAAAATCGTTATTTTAGAGAAATATTTAGATCTTTGTTCAACGTACATATGTAATGTCTTTAAAATTATAAAAAAAATCGAAAAAAGATGACTCTTGACTTAAAAATGAGTTAAAAAGCAATAGAATAGAATTATGGAACTCTATTTTTGAGAAGATCGAAATTGAAAATTCGTTGGATATGTGTATGATCTTTTTTAAAAACAAGGTTTATATAAAAAAAATTTTTACTTTGTACTTTTATTATTTTTATGTCAAGAATTGAATATTTTTTTAATTTTTCACGATTTTTTGAGCTATCTTGTAATTAATTGTATACGAGAAGTTGCATGTAACGGGAAGCAAACTTGAATATGAATGAGGTGAAATAGCAGAGGAACACCATTGACGTAAAAAATATCATTAGTCGTGCGGAAAGCCGAAAAAAAATTTGCTATAAACCTCAGTTTCCTATCGCGTGACAGTACTCGAAGCGAGTGAATCGGACACTTGGTAACCACAGAAGCGGGCGGTCCGATATCAAAATCGAAATCCCGCGTTCGCAAGATCGAATTACGTAGATCAAGAGCGGTTGAGATTAAAACTACGAATGTATTTATCTCATACGATATATCAGCAAAATATCAGCATTAAACCTTAAAAAAATATTTGTAAAGTATAATTTCCAAAATTATCAAATTGAATTTATCAAAATTCATTAAAATAATTCAAAATAATGTTTGGAATAAATTTTTGTTTAACCATAATAAATGTAATAATGATATTTCTCAAAAAATAAAAAGAAGAAAAAAAATTCATGTATCGTCTTGTCTTTGATTCGTCGATTTGCTTTAATTTAATTCACTTTCTTTTTTATATAAAATGTGGTTCTGATCTAAGCTAATATGGAAGGACAGTACAGTGCTGCCGCGTAACGACAATTTTGTTTAACGAAGTTGATCTTAAAAGGATAATACAGAGATACTGCATAAAGATGCGTAATGTTACATGGCACAGTAACATTTTAAATGCTATCATCGTTCTGTCCATTAACGCACGTAGGCCTCTTTCTACTTGCATTACTGTGTCACCAACACGAATTGTTCCCGATGACGTAATTCCACGTAACTCGTTTGCTCCTGCAGTATTTTCTTTTTTTCTTACCCAGAACAATGAATTATTCATTTCAATTCCTTTATTTTTTTTTTTTTATATAATTTCTCATATTTTAATAAATGTTAATTACAAATATATTTAAATATTTTATAAATATTGTAGTTATATCCAATTAGAACCTCATCCTTTGACTAAATAATATATAATTATAAAAATGTATAATGATTTTGTTGTGGTTTTATTAACACATAGAGGTTATGTTGCATGAAAAGAACTAAATAATTTTATCAAAAACTTTATCGAGAATAACGTTTATAAAAAAAATATTTTCCCATATGTGCTGGTACTTTTAATAAAAATCTATTTCATTAGATTCATGTCTAAACTAAATTAATAAAAAAAATAAATGTGGAAAAGTTTTCGAAGTTGTAATATGGGGGTATCAAAACCTATACTTGCACGTACGTTTATTCAAACATGGTCCATGAGAGATCGAATGACCATGACCTATCCAACATGTATGTATAAATGTCACGAGAACCCCAATATATTGCAAGGTTTGGATCGCGTTCGTTTTACTAATCACTCAAATAATATTATGAACTTTTTAATATGAATATTAACATGTGAATTCAACCATTTTATAGAAATATAGGCTAAAAGTGTGTGAATCGTAGAATAGTGATTCAATAGTGAACGAAAAAAAAAAAAATATGATCATTATTTTGTGTTTTTAAAACCGATGGATAATTTTAACTCGGGCAACGCTTCGAAACATTCCACCTTGACAATGAAACGACTCGCTTCGATTTCTCACTCCCGCTCTATACCAAGCGCTGTGAAACAGCCTTCACGTAAATATTACGGTTAAAACTTCGTTTTAGAATGCCATTTTTTTAAAAACTTTTTTTTTTATATTCTCATATTAAACGAATAGAGACAAAATTATATAGATTCGAATATTAGATTTAAATTTAGAAATTCATTGGTAATTAAAAGGTTGCATATTTAAAAATTTGATACTTTTAGTAGTATTATATATCTTAAATAAATTAAATTGGTTAATTACATTAAATTGTGTTACATTAAATTAGATTTATTAACATCTTGCAAAGGATTAAATGAAAAAAAGAAATTATTTGCACGACGATGAATTTCAAGGTTCAAATATATGAATATTTATGGCGTTTTCTATTGTCAAAATGACAATAGAAATGATAATATCATTAATAAAAGCAAACCGAAATTTTGTTTTGAAATTTCTCTCACATTTTCTTACACTATTTGATAAATAGAAGTAAAATACATCATTTAGATTAGGTTAACTTTTTAATTAATGTATTTCTATATTTAAAAAAGTGTTTGAAAATGAATTTAAACACTTGTCCCATCTTTTTTTAAGCGAATTATTCTGAACATTCGTGAATATATTTTGAAATATATTCTTATTGGTGAGATATAAGAAAATTGTATCATAACCAAATAACAATGATACATCAATTGTCTATTATCTGAAATGATAGTGTCGATAATACAAAGCAATGATATTGAACGTTCAAGGTTAAAAAGATAGTTGATAACTATCTTGTATACATGCCAGAAATGATGAAATTGTTGCCTGTGAACTGTATGCAACCTTTCGAGGTTTATATTGTGACTCCCACATACTTTATATATACATATAAAAATGATATACAATGATATATAAAAATCGATAGATCTAAATTCAATTCTGCTCTATTCAATCATTGTATCGTTCCTGTCTTTTGGATCAATTAAACGTAAAAAATAAAATATTTGATTACACATGTCCAAATGTTTAAAATAAAATGTCAATGGTCAAAAATAAAAAAAAATCGTGCTTCTCTTTTTTTTAATTACCGATAATCAAAAATCAATAAAACGATGTGAGCAATCTCCAAAAATATTTTCATGAATTATCAATAATTAAAAAAAAAAAAAGTCGAAACCACAATTTTTTTATTTTTGATTTTCTTATTTTAAAAAATCGTTCCCTTAAATTTTTAACCGTTTATAACCATTATATTGAATTAATAATAATAACTCTTCTTACAAACGAAATTTGTTTGGGCATCAAATAGATCCAAACTATCAAGATTGAAAGACAGCACGCAGAAAAAAGATCAAAGACCGAACGAGCTAATTTAGAAAGGTAGTCTCACCCTTGAACCCTCTTTATCTCTAGCCCAACGAGTTATTCATCCAGTTTTTGTTCTTACCTTTTTAGACTAGTGTGCTTCGCCCCGTTGAAAATTTTACTCTTTCGATCACTTCCAACCGTGCTCGCGTCGCTGTTTATACTGTACAGGCTGTCATCTTTAGTGACCTTCGAGGTGTGCAAAGTCGATTTTTTCACCACAGTACCGTTGTGCTTTGGACTTTCACTCAACACCCCCTGATGCAGTTGCCGCTGCTCGTCCTGCAGATGGCGCTGATCGTCGCCATGCTCCTCGATCTTCGTTGAAACGATCATCTTCGACGTGTCAACGTATTTTTTCGGGGATATCGTGATTACTTTGCCCACCGGCTTCGAACCGATGGACGGGCGTTCCTTCGGACTTTTCTGCAACTTATTAGCGCGATAATTGCCCTGATTCGAATCTCCGGGTGGTGGTTTGTCTTCGGTTGGCAGCATGTACGACAACATTGTCCTTCCTCCGTTTTAATTTATCTGCGCAAAAAAGAAGGCGATTCTCAATATATAATATATATGAAAGTAAAGAAAAAAAAAAAGGAAAAACACAAGTGTGCGCACTTTGTTGTAAAAAACTTGGAACAGATATATATGTTGACACTTCTGATACATAGCTTGATCAAAGTTTATTTACGTTTATTGTGAAATGTAGAAAAAGATAGAAGATGAATGAGAAATTGTTTGGTTTCTTTCTGTAATGTAATTTTTATTAACGTATTTGAAAAGTTTATCTGATTAAAATAAAGTTAAATACGATATGATTATTATCGTGTTATATTATTTATTTAATGGATAAAAAAGTTACTATCCTATTATTATATAAATAAATATGATTCAAATCGTATTGCGATTTAAAAAAATACAATGATAGAAATTTAAAAAAAAATAAAGAAAAAACTTCCTTTTTCTTAATTATGCCGTAGATAAATTTTTTAATTGAATTTTAATTAAATTCATAAATAAGTTTAATTTTACAAGATTATCTTTGTATTTTATTTTTTACAAAACAAATCAATCAATTGTATTGTTGTATTTTTCGAAATGTGGTTTTACTAAATGCATTGTAAACAGCAAGGAATACTGTTAGAGCAACTTAGCATAATAAACGTAGAAATCAATTTTCGAGTGTTTCAAATTGCCCGCGTATCTGTATACTGGCGTGTGACGTTAGCCAAGCCATACAGGAAAGAGGTTGCGCTTGAATTACCAATTGGAACTAATTACACCATCAGTCGTGAGTTTTGTATCCGTTAACGCTTCAATGATCTCTATGAAACGCTTTCTTTTCCCTAACGGATCGACATCGGTGGTATATAACTGTACAAATGGCGGGAATACTACAGGCACATTTGCTTTTGTATTGTTGTCGAGTGATAAATCAAAATTTTCAAACGAATAACGTGGAAAAAGGTGAATCGAACGGTTCTTCGGTCGATCAAGTCGTTTTTCACATTTACCGGCATGTTTTTTTGAAACGAGTTTAAGCGATTCTTGAACGTTTGGATTTTCAAGGGAAGGGACAGGTATGGATCAAACATAGGGGAAAGAAAAGAGACGATCTCAGAAACCGTGACGGGAATCTAAGACGTTAGATCATCACGCTTGACCACATTGGATCCCGTTCACGTTCAAAGGATGCGGTGAGGAAGGATATCGTGACTCACCCGATTGTCCCTTGTCACTTTAGATTTCTATATCATGTATTCCCAATCATCTTTTCTCGTGTTCGTCTCTCGAATTAATTCGAACGACAAACAGAGCACAATAATTTTGCCAACTAATATTATTAGCAATTCGATAACAAATTACAGGTTATAGGTTATAAATTTCTTTCTTGAATTTTGCGGTCGGAAAACTTGTCAATCTGCTTTTAAAATCCCACTTATATCGATAATTTTAACTTACAACTCGTAAAATTTCACTAATAACATTGATTTAATCGCAAAAGATATTAGATATTTAATAAAAAGCGAAAACGTCGAAAGTGTCATCACGAGCACAGTATATATAACTAAATATTCGATTATTTTCGTAACGCTGTTTCACAATTAGCCGGAGAGAATAGAAAAAGTAGAAGGATAATGGATGGACGAAAAGAATGGAAGAAAAACATCAAACACGGAAAAGAGGCAAATACCTATCGAATGAAACGGTTAACGTGCAACTGATCGGAAGAACGTCGCGGTAAAATCTACGACCTACGACGACCAACCGAAAGGTTATGGGAGGTATGGCCGATCACGGACCAAACTCTGCGCTTCGTTCAAACTTTATCCCCACTCTCTTTCGTTCGGTTACGTCATCATGCAATAGGCTCTCTCTCGTCTATATCGGACCAGGCGCCAGCGTTTTATTTCTCCTATATCGACTAGCTGTTCCGCCCGCGCGGTTTGCTAGCAGCTTGCAAGTCGTTCTTGTTTCATCTTTGCCTACGATGCGCTCAAAGGTTTAGTAATTCCATCTGAATACGCGTTGTGCATACAAATACCAACGCTTTCAAACATTTATATTCGTGAATGTACACTGTTTTCTACGAGTATTAGAATATCTGATATTTGGTTGTAATTATGATTAAATTCAATCGATTATATATATATTTGGTTAGATTCATATATCCTTATAATCACTATTAAGAATCTGAATTTAGTAGAGAGGAAAAAAAAAAAATGATACGGATGTCGATAATTGAATTTAATATTATATCCTTGTTCGAATTATTTTTAAAATTTTACTATTGTTCTTCCTTATATATTCCTTCATTAACGAAAAGTTTTTTGCAGTCGAATTTTGATATCGATGAATAATCAAATAATAAAATCAATATATTAATAACGATATTATTCAATTAAACATAATTGGCTCGATATATTCGAGCAATTGGGGCACGATTAATAGGAAAATATACGTATTCGTGAACAGGTATGTTGAAAAGTACCATTTCATTCTTGAAATACTTACTCTGGTACCAAGGAGCTTTCGAGATGGCGGTTTCCAAAAGATTCGCGTGGTGGACTGGCATTTGGATTATCTGCAACACAAACGCGACATTCAGAGTATAGAATTTCATCGAGAAGTTTATTTCAAAGCTCGAATTAAAAAAAAAAATACGAAAATGATATCGAGATTTAGAATTATGCATAAATTTAAATTTTTTATAAATTCGACATTGAACAATTAAAAGTGAAAATTATTATTACCAATTCAATAATCAATCTAATCTAATCCATGAGAATTGTTCTTCGAAAATTATTTTTCGAACAAATTGAACTCTTAGACAATTATTGTCAAAGCGTACATCTCCCAGTGTCTCTCTTCCGGAAAATAACTTTCGAGAATGAAAATTATTCTTGGACGGTCACTTTCACTTTCTAACCTAACAATCTAATCAATAAAACAACGATAAAAAAGGAACAATAAAGAAAAATGTCAAAATCTCGAGAATTGTTCTTGTTTACGCTTTATTCTCTGCTAACGGCTCTTGACAATTTTTTTTATACTTTTTCCAAATCTTTTCAACCAGCGATTCAAAAGATTCTCGAAAAATTCCACTAGGGAGTTCGTTTCGTAGAAGTAAAAACACTGGAGAGAATTTCGCTCAAACACAAATGTGGATACTTCGTGAGATTTTCGACTATGCAAAGTTCAATCCTGGGCATCGTACTTTTTTTCAATAAGTAATAGAGGCGCGGAGCGAAAACGATCTCGCCGAGGTTGAATAGACACCTGTTTTCGCAGACAGGTGACACAAACACGTATGCAAAACGCGTGAGAACCTAGGGGGCAATGACTCCTAGAATAGCGCCGACAGACGAATGTCGACATCGAATAGAGCCTTCCTCGACGTCTTGAAAAAAGTACCTTCGACCGTCTGCCCGAGCCCTCCCGCTTGAGATTTACACGGACTTGTCTACTCGGCAGACAAACCCTCCGGAGAAAGGTACTAATTTTGTGATGCGTTTTCCAACTCCCACGCCTCGCCGTCCTTTTTCTATTATATCACTCCAGTGTACGTAATCTTCGTTGAAAGTGCATGTCCTGTACACAGATCCCTTCGTGAAATCGAGTGTGGACAGGATTCTATCATATATATTTGATTAATCTATCATGAATAGCACACAAGTGACATGAATGCAAATTGGAAATGTTTATGATATGAATGTTTTTAAGAACGAACGTGGAATCATGATTAATCATCGATTAATAAAGGTATGTACGCTTTTTTACGATTTTATAATTTTCAATATCGACTGTGATAATTTGTAAAATATTTAGTAGCATCTTCTTATATCGTTTTTTTAAACATTAATATAACCATTGTCGATAAGCTTGCAGCAAAACAAGTGTAAGCACAAATGAGATTACGTATACACTTACATGTAGATGTAATTACATTTTTAACATACGATTGAGTCGGGTGTCATGCATCGTGAATAACGGCTCAATGTAGTTCGGCGCATCGAGGCAGTAAATTGACTAAATTTGCATGACCCGCTATTCACGGGCATCATCGTTTTACGACGCACCAACGATTGCACTGACGCTCTCCTTTCGAGCTACGAGGATTGCGCGCGATTCCTCTCGTCACGTCCGCTTTCATCGTAAGCTAAACGATTTAATTGTCGTAAACTGGCAACATTGTCAAAGTAAAAGGCAATTTGCTTTTGTCCGCTAAGAGTGTTGCGCCAACAAAGTATTAAAGTATTATCATCCGCTTTATCGTCGCTTTTTATCTTTCGCTTTTACAAAAAGTGGCCCACGTGCCATCTCTACGCATCAATTCAATGTTCACGTCATTCTAGTAATACTATTTTCTAATAAAAAGTGCTTTCTAAACAGTTTTGTGACATTTCCATATCGCTTCTATGTACTTTATAAATCATCATGCCTCCGATATATATATATTCATTCTTAAACATATATTCTCGCCTATAGTAATAATATAATAATAGCCTCGAACACGTGTTAAAATCGCGTCATATCTATTAACGAAAGAGATAGATATTTTTGGAATTATCGATATTAAAAAAGAAAAATTATAATATATGTTTATAATAAATAATAAAATATTTTGAGAATACGAAGTAATCACGAGTTACAAACATTTATGAGAATAGAAAAGAAAACATTTGAAAATTGCGCGCTATCTGAGAATTCGTATTGTGGATTTAAGAAAAGTTCGGGTGGGCTCGGGAAAAATCGGGTAAATTCGTGCAGGTATCCGCCACGGAGACTCGAGGCGAATTCTCGAGTAACGCGATATTTGATGTATGATGTAATATTTAACGTGTACAAAAAACTAACCAATCAATTCCATCGGTGTTCACTGTTTGATCTCTAAAAAATGTAAATGCTAATTATATATTTTCATATAAAAATTTGAAACTAAGTAATTCATTTTTTTATTTTGGCTTATGCTTACTTGAGCATGAAATATTCAGTACATATAGTGTTACCTGGCAATCTCAATAAAAAAACATAAAGGCTCGAAGCAATTTTAGAAAATTCAGCATTTCTATCGAGGCACTATCATATTATTCCACATGATTCATATGAAAATATAGATAATACATCTACATAAAAATTGGCTGCATGAAATTTCGTTAATCCGTGTTAACTCGAACTCGAGTCGACTCGATGAATCGATATGAGCATATGTACGATGCTTACGTAATTGCGAGACACGAATGAAATTGTCGTAAACAAGTACCATATTTGTTATCCATTAGCAGACATTTTAGACATCTTTTACGTTGTCCACGTTATTTATAAGCCTATTGAAACGCGTACGTATACAATCCTCTTGTCAACCGTGGGTGGTAGTTGAATCTGAAGTTCCATTCACAATGTTAGATTGTAATTAGGATGGCCGGTCATGCGAGAAATTCGCGACAGCTTTTAGATCGGTCATCTATACTAACATGGATCAATTTATAAAACTTGTATCATAAAATAGAAACACGCCAGTAGGGAAAAACGTGACGCTTTAATATAAAAATTTATATATTAGATTATTGTAAATGGAATTAATATGAATTTTTAATATAAGTTTTAATTATATATAATTTTATTAAATTCAATATTTTTATTGGAATAATATTTTTAATTGATTATTATCAATAATATTCCGGTTACTATTTTTCTCTTATTCTTTGCTTATATCGAGCCAATTTAAATTTATTACAAATTGATCTTTTCAAAAAATTCTATCAATCTCTATTAAGGAAATATAAAGTCGAATTCCTTTTTATAAATATAGTATATATTTTATAATTACACATAACGTAACTGCAAAAGTGAAAACTATATTTGGAATCTTTTTGACAACAGCGTTATAATAATTTATTTTTAATTCTTTTTATTTTTAATTTAAGTTTCACAAATATAATTTCTATTATATTTACTTGTTTAATACATCCAATTATTATTATTCATTATAATAAGTAAATATGATCCAAATTATATAAATCACGTTTAACTTTATTTTATTAATAAATCAGAAAAATCTGATTGGTAAAAGTTTCATTAAAAAAAGTCAAAAAATGAAGAAATTGAAAGAAATTCTCTCTTAATCGTTATGTTAATATCGTCTCACCGATATTTTTTTCCAAGTATGTCGACTCTCACTCCTCTTTCACTTTCACTCGTTATGCCTTTTTACGTTCGGCAAAAACATAAATAAACGCAAAGCTTGAAATGTAAAAATCTATATCATTGTTGGACAACTGCGAATCACAAATTCTGAATCTTAATTATAAAATATTTATTGTATTCGTTTTTAATAATAACAATAATAATATTCTTAGAAATTGAAAGAATCGAAGGAATAACGAAAAGAAAGGAATTTTAAAAAAATTTTTTTTTATAAAAACTTCTTCATTTAAGTCCGAATTTTTTCATTCTTATCATACCATCGTTAAACGAAAGATTCGTCTATAAAAAGATTGTTTTTAACAATCTATTTTATATGAGAAAAGTATATAGGTTTTATATCAAAATTAAAGTATAATTCATCGTACATCTGAATCTACTAGTACAAATTTCAACAAAACTAAAATTAGCATGCAACGAGTATTATTTTTAACACGTTTGCTCATTGAAATTTGAATAACTTTGCATTTGTGAAATCGATCATTTCATCGCGCAACAACAAAATGAACAGACAAGCGTAACGATACATTTAACGCTTACTTTAATTGCATCAAAAGACACGCAACGAAATCACCGAGCATGAAAATTTGTGCATCGCTAATTATTCTTTCTTCGGTGCCTTTCCATTAAACGATCATAATAAAAACGATTGAAAAATGTTTATTTCCGGCCACGAACTTCTAACGTTACATCGTACGAGATTTCCGGTACCGTGACTTCCTGTAACTAACAGTTCCGCCACCTCGCAACTTTGAAGACAATCGTGTGGCACGAGAGAATAAAAATCGATATTATTAAATATAGCTACCTCTACTTATCTGACAGAGAAGTTTGCGTTGAAGAAAACTTGCGAGAGTAAACTTTGAACGTGTGTTACTTTAAAGATGGATGCGTTGAATAATTTGTTCTGTGTAAACAGTATGTTTGAAAAGTATTAACCTATAAGTACGTACAATGAGATTTATATATTCGATTTTATTCATACATGTAACATGAGTTCAAAAAGCAATCATAAAAAAATTTAGGAAATTAATTCAATTAATCTGTTCTTATTTTCTAATAATAAATCTTGAATTAAATTTGTCAAAACTTTAAACAACTGATACAAATGTAAAACAGTTCAAATGTAAAAAATGTGTTCAGCTAAAAAATGAAAAATTTTTTTACTTTTAATTTTCGCCTCATTTCGTTTTGAAGAATCGATTTTTAAAATTTTTGAACACTTGTAATCGAAACATACTTGACCTCCGTTTAAATCTGCCATTTAAATATATCTTTGTCATTAAGTCTCATGTTTCAAATCATTTCGTTAAGAATAAATTGTGCACGGTGATGCAGGGTGTACAGTTCCTAATATATTAAACACGATGCTTCTCGACA